ACTTTCTACGGAACAATACCAACAATACATATCGCAATTCATCAACAAAAATTCATTTACAAATTTAACACAGAACCCTACACCAAAATATCAAAAATACATCCAAAAAATAACCCAAAAATGTAAAAAACATTTTTAATCCCGCTGATCACGTTGCTAATTTTCCTAAGCGTCTTTCCAAGCTGTGCACTCAGAAAATATGCGTTCATTCAGCAAGTGATCGAACTGGATAATTAATTAAAATATAAAACATAAAATAATAATTAAGTACGCTGTTGTTATGTTGTAGGCAATTAACTAACGTCCACACAAGAGAAGCAGATTAGGTAAATACCTAATAGTCTCCTTAAGGGGGTTATTTTTTAAAAAATTCCGGAAGACAAGTTTGATCCTTCAGCCATTGGAAAAGGTCGTACGAGAAAGTTTCGGTCACCAGTAACTGTAGTTTTGCATTGAAGAAAGGAAATCATGTTTGGTCGACCGTAGAGTTAATTTATAAACTTAAGCGACAGGAAAATAATGTCTACGATTTTAAACTTTCTGATAAATCCTTCACACCGATTTTTATTAAAATCTGTCGACTTGTTAAAAAAAAAATTACAAACAGAGCAGAATTAAGTTCTTGGACTTATAAAATGGCAATGACAGTTCAGTGCATACTTTTTTTCGAAAGTGTTAGCCAAATCCTAAGGCGGAAATTTGAACCTCCAATTAAACATCCAACAAACTTATTCACGGATTATTATCAGAAAGCTTGGAAACTAGTAAAATTTCGGTTGGCGCAGAAGATTAACTGGACAACGAGTGTACTCGTACTTGACCGTGAAAGGGTTGGGTATTCGGCTTTAAGGAACAACAAATAAAACAATTCAAAGGTTCAGTAAGTATAAAAAACAGCGCCAGATTAAGTCAGTCACAGTACCAAATAAATCTGTAGCTTAGTATTTAGCTGGAGGCATTTAACTTGTAGATCTGACACCAGAGTCGCCACTGTGCTGTGTTACGTGTCAGTCGAAGATCACATCAGCGTGAAAAAGAAATATTCTGACAACTGACAAGATAAATGACAAGGTTCGACGAACCCTCGAACAGCCGTGGGGGACAGTCGACCCCGATGACGTATTTCCGGCGTTGAGTCTCACGAAATGGGCTAATGCACCTCTGAGGACACGGGACATGTTATGCTGTTTCCACAGAGTGGGTGAGTTATTTGTAAAAAAAAAAATATTAGGAGGCCCAACGCAGGATAGACTAACCTGGGCTCTGTTAAAACCTACAAATAACTAAATTTTATGTTTGTCATATCAAGGAATTACATGATTTGTTTTACGTAAGTGTGAAACTTGGTTTCTTAAGAAGGAACACAGATTGAGGAGAAAATGGAGATGAGAGGAATATTTTAGCATAATGAAAATAATAAATTTTATAGGCTTCCCGGGACCAGTGGGGAACTTTCCATTCAACTAGTTAGAAAACAAACATATAGAGGGACAATTATATTTTTACGCATTCGCCAGGATTTCAGTTTTGCCAGATGAAGTACTGGTTACCATGGGGAAATAAAACAACAGTAGTCTAAATGCCTTAATTTTTGCTACATTACGCTGAGAAAATTCAGGAAATGACGTCATCACGACATCTAAAAGGATCATGGGTAATGGCGTCATGGCGGAGGAATACCGTTCCACCTAACAAATTTGATCATCCGTCACTCTGGTATTACAGATTTTATAAAATAACATAAGTATGTTTTATTTTTATTTTTATTTCTATTTTATTGATACTTTCTAACTATAATTTATATATTTTGCATTTTATTCTCTAAATTCTTTTATAAATTCTTTCAAATTCTTTAGTGTTTCTTTCAATCTTTTACTTACAGACCGATATGTACATCTAATAAAATTTAAGAAAAACAACACCTTCGCCCAAAAAATGAAAACCAAACGCAATGAAACATCACCAAAATACTACAAAAATCATAATTAAGTTTTAAGTTCTTAAATATATTTTACACCTGATGAATGTTTTATAAAAACTGAAACATGTTGTGCAAATGTTCCGAAATGTAAATCGATCAATCGATATGGAACATCAATGATATTTTATTATCTTAATTATAAGAAATTTTAAAATATTGTGATAAGACGGATTAAAATAAATAATTGTTATGAGTGTGAAATAAAAATGTTAATAAACTGATGTAAAAGGCTCATAACCTGACGAAGAGTAAGGATCAAGTTTACAAAATTAAATCATAGTTTTCATCGGCATTGTTGCATTAATATATATAGACGTGAACAATCGTAAAGAACAGTTATGAATAGCTTGTAAAAGTATTGCGTGGTAGAGGAGATACTTTTGTGCTGTTAAAATCCTCTCAGAATAACCCAAGTACTTATCTTATATAAGAATTATTATATTATATATATATATATATATTATTATATATATTAAGAATTTTGCAGCGACTCATCCACATCAAAATAACAAAGCCATTTTAAACACATCTTTCAATGATGTCAACATAAATCACAATCGATTCAGTAATATTCTTTCTGTTCTGTCCTATTCTATTCTATTCTATTCCTAGAATAATATTTATTTGCACGTGGTTTATTAAGTATAAGTGTCTTTCAGCGTACGCATTTCAGGATCATTTATCTACAATATATGTCAGTATCTGTACATATGTGTTGTGTTTAGTCTCCTCCTTTGTGAGGTATTATTTTTATAAGTAACTGTTTTCATGTGTTCGTGTCACTTGTCGAAAAGTTCGGTCTCTGTCTAATTTCTTCTACGTTTTGAAAATACCATCTCTTTTGACTGCTTTGTCGTATGGGTTTTCTAATCTTACGACTAGTGATGGGTTGAGTATGCTGTTGCATAAATGGGTAGTATTGTCATTGGGTTTGATTGTTATATCAGTAATAGTAGTGGGTTGAGTAGGTCATCTTTTAGCCCACTGCAGTTGTAGAGAGGCGAAGGGGTATGTGTATCGTGAAACATTTTTAATTCTGGTGGTGCGTTATAGGTAGTGCATGCTATTACGTCTTTACTTTCTCTGTGAAACTTGTGCATGTTATGTATGCCCACTTCCAAATGCACTGCTGATTCTTGTTTAAATCAGTCCTTAACAAATGAATAGTCAGTGGCTTTTTACATTGCACCCATTTCAAAATTCAGGATCTCCTTGATGTGGGTTATGAAATATTGTTTGAGAAAGAATTATGGATTAAATACGATCGTTTTTAGGCTGCCCTGAGTTCAGATATTGGCTTAGACACTTTCCTGATAGGTTTTAGTATCTTTTTTTCAGTCCATGCAGGCAAATGCTGGGAAAACAGTAGTATTAACACATTTTCATATTCATTAGTCACTCTTCACATTTGTTTAATGATGTGCATCCTGAGTTTTATATAATAAATATAATCAGACATTTGGTTGATGTATAAAATCATGCATACAAACAACTGTTTACACTGGACAGTATGCAAGGTTTTAAGATTTGGCTGCTGTTTACCATTCATAGTCAGGATGATCTTAACAGTGATCTGCAAACTGTGATTGCCGTTGTTTATCTAGTGTTAAATATCTGTTCAGTATGCCTGTTGCAGTGAGCATTCATGTAGAATACAGATTTGCAGATTCTGATTATTTTTTGCACACGTAAGTGCTAAAGGTAGTTATGCTACTCATAATATTGAACTTTCATTGTAAAAGAAAATGCTAAAAGAATTTCAAACATTGTGTAATACCAGTGAGTGAGATTTGTGAAAGGAAACTACATCTGCACTAATTTTGATGCAGTTGACTTGGCTTCAACCACCTCCAGAGTGTTTGTGTTAGTGTACTAATCATGAATTACAGTGAGTCATCTGGACCTTACCTATTGCTGTATATTTTGAACTTTCAAGAATTAAATTAGCTTTCATATCTTGGAGGACAGGAGGATTTCAAAAGTAGTAAAAGTAGGGCACCTCCACCAGAGACCTGAATGTGGGGTACGACTGTCGTGCTAATTAAGATTTGATATTATCTGCCATTTTGTTTCTGTACTATCATTGGGCATAAATGTGAAATTTGGGATGAGAACTATGTGTTTGCTTGCTGAGGGTAAGATAACTTGAAATGCTGATAAAGAAAGTTTTATTAAACATCGTATGGTTGGTAGAAAATAATCCTGGCAAATGGCTAGGAAACCATTGTTGATTGTTGAACTTGAAATGTTTCCAAAGATTGTGAAGTGGAAAGGCTACTTCAGCCTTTGAATGCGATGTGTGTGGTAAATAAAGTGAAGTGTATAAGAAGTAGAACTGAATTTTGTTCCATTGATTTAGCAATGTAATAATCACGTTTGTACAGCAAAAGTGTTTATGATTAAATAAAGCAGTGACCCATTGTTCAAGTAGTAATAAATAGACAGTTGTAAAAGAGAGACCTCTAATTATTTATTTGTTAATCTGAAAAATGTTTTGGCTTTTTACACAGGTGGAGACAGTAATAAGGTCGACAGGATGGGTGGACGGCCAGTACAGATAGTTGTTAATAGAAACGGTTCTTTTGAACTGGATGAAAAAGTGTTGGAAAACATTCTTCTACAGGACCATATCAAAGACAAAAATGTAGTGGTTGTCTCAGTAGCTGGTGCCTTCGGGAGGGGAAAGTCATTCCTCCTCAACTTTCTTCTCCGATATTTGGAGGCAAAGGTTGGTTTGTCATATCAAGTTAAAGGTACAGATTTCCTCCATTTTCTTTCACACAGTAAAATATGTAAAGTAAATTATTATAATGTTAATTTTTAAAATAATCTGTTACTTTTATCACACTTTTTTATTTTTACGGAAAGCTGTACTTATAATATGTGTGTGTGTCTGTGTATTTTAAATGATACACATTTGTAGGTACAATACTTATTTACAACTGTTCATTAAATGTTACTATTATCTTTGTCACATAATTTGTGAGAACAGAATAAAGGTCGTGCTGGCACAATAGCAAACATCCTGTATTGTAATTAGTATAGAAGTTACTGTTTTTAATGACTTTAGTGAGTACATATGATGTAGTGGATAATAAGACTTGATTGTGAATGACGTTAAACACTATATAAGTACTTGACAGTAAAAGGACCCGTGGAGACATGGAGACAGATAACTATGAAGAGTGAGCAATAAATTGCAGGACTGATTTGTTTAATTTACTGTAACATTTATGATGAAATAATGGACCTGGCATGTTGCATGCATCTGATATCTCATTAGTGTAACTAAAAATTTTTAGCATTCTTTCTTTCTTTTTTGGGGGGTTGGGGAAGTGTGCTCAAAATTGAAATTTGCAAAATTCACCTATGTGCTTTGGATGCCTGTCTGTTCATCTGTTTGGATGTAACAACTTGAGGATACTAAGTGGAATTTCATGAAATATTGTATTTTGGAGTTTTACTAGAATTTATCATCACATTCCAGTTTTGTTTTAAATCAGGCAACAGTAACAAACACTTCACATGAAGATGGCTGGGCTGTAGTTCTGTGTAGTCTGGCAAATGCTTTCACGAGTCTACATGGTGCCGTGACCCAGAAGACATTGTACTCACAGCCGTGAGAACCTGAAATCCTGCTTTTCATGAAGACATGAATTTCTTTGCATGAAAGTGACCCTGAAACTGTTTTTGGTGGGAGCTTGTAGACTGATGAAAAATGTGTGGAAACGGAAATGTCAAAACTTCCTGCAGTAGATTTAGAGGATGGAACATGTAATTTAGTCATGGAATTTTTACATGATTCTCATATTGATGACAACTTTTTTTTTTGGAGGAATTGATGACTATATTTGTTCTGAACAGGGAAGGCAAGATTGGATGGGCAACGAAGATGAACCTCTTCAAGGATTCTCTTGGGAAGTTGGTTCTGAAAGACACACCACTGGTATTCTCATTTGGTCCGAAGTTTTTGTTGTTGATTTACCAAATCGAGAACAGGTAAGTTAACCCTTTGAAGGTGAAGCTCATATAAATAATATTTAAAGATTCTATCTGTACCTGAAGCAAAACACAACACTTCACCATTACAAAGATCATTTTGTTAATGCTGTTTATGGAAATAATAAGTTTACCCCAAGAATCATTTGAACCCCATAAATTACAGAGTTATGGATTGTTAAGGCAGTTGGTACATATATTTACCAGTGGGCTTTAAAGTGTTTATTATGCTTACAGAAAAGTGTTTGTATCCAGACAATTAATTGTTTTTGTCATTTTATCAGTTACTTGTGTTAAAATCCCCAATGTTCTTATTTGTTCATGACTGGTTTCAGTTGAAGAAAATGTAATTCATATAGTGTTAATGTTGGTTTTGCTATATTAATGCTTGCCTGTACTGGGAATATTATGATACCAATTAGCGATGATCTCAGATGGTTAGCATTCCTGTGTCATTTTCAGGATTCCAGGGTTTTGAATCTTGGACTGTCTTTATTATATTTATTGTTTAATGATGTCATTAGCTTAGATTACATAGCTTGGGTTATAAGGTGGTTAATGAGGAATGGATGTGGAAAGGTACTGTCTCAAAAGAAAAGAACCTCAGGCAGTGTAGCTGGTCTCTGGGCCAAGTCCTGGGACTTCTCAAATATGAAGTAACAGTGTAACATCTGGCCATGAGGTTTGATCTCTTGGCCTGTTCACCAACTATCCCGACTGAGGTAGGTTTTCATGAACTGTCTCAGTCCTTTCAGACAAATCGTGGGAAAGTATGAAAATGGCTGTCTTCAGCGTTTTATGCCACGTAGTCTGGTAGTTTACTTGTGTTTCAAAGTGCTTGCTGCCTCCATCATCAGTGCAGTTACCGTGGATGTGCTCTCGTCTTTGGGTGAGAGATATCGACTCATGTCTGAATGAGAGATGTTAGTTAAGTGATTGGAATTAGCCCTCTTCTAGCATATCTGTCTGAGTAGTTACACCTCACCTGAAGTTGGGCAGTTCCAACTCCTGATATGTAGTGATCTGTGTGTAGAATAAAGATAGGGTGGGCATAGTATGTAAATATGCCAGTTTAACTGCCAATAAATACCCTTTAAGATTGCTCTGATGTGTGCATCTTGCCTGAGTCATACTTATGCATCACTGCACTGTGCCAATTTGTCTGTTGTTGTTCTTTGGCAGTTGAGGTAGCCTTCCTGGCTTGGTTTCCCCTGACATGTTGCCAAATGTTTGCAAACAGGTTTGAGGCCTCAGTATGATTAAGAGTTATCTTCTGGCAATGACATTGGAAAATTTATTCCTGGCAAAAAGTTTCTAATTAGAGATTGATCTGTACATGACCGTATGTCTGTAATTTAATTATTTTAATAGGTACAGGAATAATACAGAACCAATATACGAGGTGTGATCATAAAGTTTGAAGATTGCACCTATAAAAACCCGTACACTTATCTCAGGTATTAAATTCATCCATCACCCTCGAAGTAGTTCCCCTGGGAGTGAACACAACGTTCCCAGCGCCGCTGCCAAGCCTGGAAGCATCCCTGGAAATCATTCTTTGACAGCCTGTCAAGCACCATCTGCGATTCTGCCTGAATCTCTTCTATCATCTCAAATCTCCTTCCCTTTAGCTGAATTTTCATCTTTGGGAAGAGGGAGAAGTCACACGGAGCTTAGAAAGGAAGTTGGGGTCGGTTCTTGCAAGATCTTTGAGTTCCTGACAAACGAGAAGTCGATTCTGCTTCTGGTCCTCAGACAGGATGCGTCGCATGTGGAGTTCTTCCTTTAGAATCAGCTGACAGGTCCCATAGCCTATCCCAACAATGTCGCACAAGTCGTTGATGGTACGACGTCGATCTTCGTGAATGGCCTGCCGAATCTTCGTAACATATTCGGGCGTTGTGCTCGAAGATGGTCGTCCAGAACGCTCGTCATCATCGACAGAAGTTCGGCCATTTTTAAAACGTGAATGCCACACAAAAGTTTGTGCCCGACCCATTGCGGACTCCCCAAATGCTTGCTTTAGCATTTCATAGGTTTCCGTAGCCGTTTTGGCGAGTCTTTGGCAAAATTTGATGCACACTCTTTGTTCATGAAAATCCGCAATCGAAGGAGGGTCGGTGTAATGCACTACCAAAACGCCCGTAACTAAGAAACAAATGCTAATTCGCTGATGCCGGCTGGCACACTGATTCACTATGAATGTAGGCCCAACCCCTTAGCGGCAGAAGCTCGTACTACATCCGGTTCGCCCTCTATTGACACAGTCTTTAAACTTTCTGATCGCACCTCGTATGTAGTGTAGCTGCGATAAGAGAGGTTTTGCACAGGTATGGAGTCCCATGTTTTTTTTTAGGTGTGGATATTTGGAAATTAGTTTCATGCTCATAGGATCAAGAAATATTAACAGTTGAATAGAGTTATGGGGAAAGTGAATGATTTAGTTATGACATGAATATACCTGTTTTAGTAATAAAAACCAGAAAGCTTTATCTCTATATTAACACTTTCCCATGAATATCAGATAAAAGGTTCGTTGTTCCATTCGCATGCTGGGCGGTCACTTTCTTTTGCATTTTCCTTTCCTTTCTTTCGGAAAGATAGTAGTGTTGTCATCTCCTTTCAGTATTACAAATTGTCTACTGCACTCTTGCTCATTACTGGCCAACAGAAAATATTTATACACATGTTATGTTTAAGCAAGTATTTTTTCTGTATGTTGCAAGTAGGGAACAGACATGTGAACAGAAGGTGGGGAATGGCATTACCAATCATCACAGAAAGTCCTGTTATAGAAATTTTATGTTATAAAAATGAAAAACCTATTCATGTGCAGGAAAACTGCTTTCTCTTTATTTACCATCTGCCATAGTATCTTTGTTATCTTCATTTGACATAATTGGTTTTCATCCGAATTTCTATGAATAAACAAATGTGTTCTACATTTTTTTGTTTTCATTCGCATTTGTCTCGCATTTGCAGGGTCTGCGTTTTTACTTCTCTTGGAGGTTTATGATTGATCTGTTGTTAGACATTGGTAGAACTCCTTGCATGATTGATCAGGCCTATCTGCAAGGCTTCTACCTATACAAACACAAAAAGACTTGGACAATCTTCCATGCTTTGAGTGGGACTTGAACCCACAGTCGCAGTGACCAGGCGCACGAGGACCATGCCTCTGACCGCGTGGCAAATGCACTGGCTTGTCTTCTACATTGTTTCTTAACCATTTTCTCTTCAATAGAGTAAACAAATTGGACTATAGGCTGATATATCATCCACTGTTTTTTCTATGTTGGACGTGAACTGTGGTCCCTGAAGTTATCCTTCATTACACCTGTTTGTCCAGATCCCAGTGTTCCATAACTTTACAAAAATTGTAATTCTCTGATCTTATCTAATTGTTCAGTATAGGTTACCAATCCTGCCATTGGTTTCAGTCATGGCCAGCCTCATTTCTGTCCTTACATCCTCGTTATTTTAAGATCTGTTTTAATAAGAATCTGCCATTTATGTCTGTTTCTCAAGTAGCCATCTTTCAAGATGTTTCACCTAAAAATTCTGACCATATTTCTTGTTTTCCCTGCCCAACCTGAGCTACATTGCTTGTCCATTGTAAACTCTTTGTTGCAGGAATCTTAACAATAGATGAAGCATTGTTAAATCAAAGAAATCAACATAAAAATATAAATCATATAAAATGGAGACACTGCTAGAAGTGGTATTTTAATAATGTACCAATCTTCCCTTAGTCTATGCACACAATTTTATTTAAATTTGAAAACTCCTTTCTTTCGGAAAGATAGTAGTGTTGTCATCTCCTTTCAGTATTACAAATTGTCTACTGCACTCTTGCTCATTACTGGCCAACAGAAAATATTTATACACATGTTATGTTTAAGCAAGTATTTTTTCTGTATGTTGCAAGTAGGGAACAGACATGTGAACAGAAGGTGGGGAATGGCATTACCAATCATCACAGAAAGTCCTGTTATAGAAATTTTATGTTATAAAAATGAAAAACCTATTCATGTGCAGGAAAACTGCTTTCTCTTTATTTACCATCTGCCATAGTATCTTTGTTATCTTCATTTGACATAATTGGTTTTCATCCGAATTTCTATGAATAAACAAATGTGTTCTACATTTTTTTGTTTTCATTCGCATTTGTCTCGCATTTGCAGGGTCTGCGTTTTTACTTCTCTTGGAGGTTTATGATTGATCTGTTGTTAGACATTGGTAGAACTCCTTGCATGATTGATCAGGCCTATCTGCAAGGCTTCTACCTATACAAACACAAAAAGACTTGGACAATCTTCCATGCTTTGAGTGGGACTTGAACCCACAGTCGCAGTGACCAGGCGCACGAGGACCATGCCTCTGACCGCGTGGCAAATGCACTGGCTTGTCTTCTACATTGTTTCTTAACCATTTTCTCTTCAATAGAGTAAACAAATTGGACTATAGGCTGATATATCATCCACTGTTTTTTCTATGTTGGACGTGAACTGTGGTCCCTGAAGTTATCCTTCATTACACCTGTTTGTCCAGATCCCAGTGTTCCATAACTTTACAAAAATTGTAATTCTCTGATCTTATCTAATTGTTCAGTATAGGTTACCAATCCTGCCATTGGTTTCAGTCATGGCCAGCCTCATTTCTGTCCTTACATCCTCGTTATTTTAAGATCTGTTTTAATAAGAATCTGCCATTTATGTCTGTTTCTCAAGTAGCCATCTTTCAAGATGTTTCACCTAAAAATTCTGACCATATTTCTTGTTTTCCCTGCCCAACCTGAGCTACATTGCTTGTCCATTGTAAACTCTTTGTTGCAGGAATCTTAACAATAGATGAAGCATTGTTAAATCAAAGAAATCAACATAAAAATATAAATCATATAAAATGGAGACACTGCTAGAAGTGGTATTTTAATAATGTACCAATCTTCCCTTAGTCTATGCACACAATTTTATTTAAATTTGAAAACTTTGCAGCCCAGTAATAATTATAATGTTTTGGCAGGTTGAGATGTAATGCTTGGCATCAATAGGAAACAAATTGTATTGTGCTGGACCCCTGACCCTGTACCTCCTAAACACAAGGCTGACACACCTGTGTCTGTTTAATAAATACATTATAGAAATTTGACCAATAATTGTGGAAATGTATTCTGTGTGATTTTATGTATCTCATTGGCCTTGATTTTTGTTATACAGCTGTTCACATTACAGATGTCATATTGCATATTTATGAATTCCTTTTATTTGTATAGATGGCATATTGAAGATTCATTTGAATTGTAGTCGTAGGTCTTTGTGAGGTTTGTATTTTATGTTATGCAATAATATGTTTGTATAGTGACTTTTGGGGGGAGGGAAGTAATATTTAATTTGAGCATTAAGAAAATTAAAGGTTGTTGGTTCCAGATGAATTGAAATTAAATTTGCTTCACAACTTTCATTATTAAAATTTGTCAATTTTATTTTCAAGCATTACACTAGATATGTACAAAATTTATTTTTGTTCAGAAGTTTGTATTTCTAATCAGTATTCATTAGAATTTATAAGGCGTGATAACATTTCTGTAAATTGTTGCATAAACAGTAACACTTAAAGAATTTATGCATTAAAAGAACTGGCCTGGAAGTTAAAGTATAGTTGAAGAATGAGCTAACTTCATTTTTTTTTATTTCCATCAGGTTGCTGTTATTCTTATGGACACTCAAGGAGCCTTCAGCAAGGAAAGTTCAATGCAGGAATGTACCATAGTGTTCGCATTGAGCACATTGTTAAGTTCCGTCCAGATTTACAATCTCATGAACAACATACAAGAGAATCATTTGCAGTACCTTGAGGTAAGCAAATTTGCTGGAATGATCATTCTTATCATCATTGCTTAATGTATAACACTGACATTTGGGAATGACTCTTCAGCTTTTATGGAATGAATCAACACATTTCCTTTTGATACTAATCTTGTATAATAATAAGATAATGTTTATGATGATGTGTGTTGTGCATAAATTGTTATAACCATTGTCATGGTAATGCTTTTATGGGGTTTTCATCCTTATGGTTTGCATTACTGACTCTAAAACCACTCCCTCCTACATCTGGCCAATGACGTGCAAGAAGTTGTAATGCCTAAAGGGCAGCTTCTCACTGAAGATCATATCATAGATATCATTTAGTGGACATTGTCTATTGTCGTAAGTTCTTTTGAAATACATTTTTTTGGAAACTGGCTCTGCCTTCATCATACTCAGATTAGTTGCAGTTTTTTCATAATGCAGGAAAATGACCTGATATATGTTATATTGTTAACAAATTTGAAAATATTAATCACTAGAATTAACTGTGGGGCCTTGTAGAAATGAACAGAACACGTCTTGGTTACATTGTATTTCCTTGGAGCGTAATCAACACTTGCTATAAGTGGGGCTTCTTTTTCAGCTTTTCGCTGATTATGGTAAGAAGATGGTAGAAGATTCTAACGAGAAACCATTCCAAAAACTTCAGTTCCTCGTGAGGGATTGGAGTTACCCATATGAAGCAGACTATGGAGATGAGGGAGGAGAAATAATTTTGAATAGAATGTTCGAGGTATAGTATAATGACATCACACAGAATGTAAATGCTAAAGTGCCTAACCCTGCTAATATTGTGTGCAGTTAACTGTGACCCATTAGGATATTTTTGCTGATTACATTTAAAGTAGGGCCCTGACATCCAACCACTTTCTTTATTTCTCATATATTTAGGATATTCATTCTCTTTTGGCCAGTGTTTTCAGTTCCATGTTTCATACAAGTGTACCCCACTTGGTGCTTTTTGTACCTTACTCATCTAAGATGGGCGAATGTGGCCGGCCTCTGAGCACTCTGAACACTGCAAAATTTGTTGATTTTGTTATTAATTTGTAACATCTTTTTGTTTGTATACACTTTGTGGATTATAAGGACATTTCTGATACAGCCAGATGTACTGCACGAATGAAATGGGTTACAGGACAAAAAAGTGTTACCATCAGACAATAAACAGCTGGTGAAAATGTTCCATATTAAATACTTGTTCATCTGCAGTGGCTATAACAATCTGTAGAAAACCTTAAACATCCTAATTGTGATTAAAGAAACCAAACGTATGTACTGGAGAGTAAAATACGTATGTTGTTAAATAAACTGGGCACGTGCACTCCATTTGTCTTTTAGTGTTGGATAAAATATTTTACAACAGAAGAGTGCACAAGTGTTTGTACACATCATGTCAATTGGAACATGAATCCGATCATTAATACTCATGGGACTTATTGTACCAATTTCAGGAATCAGGTGACCCAACGAGTGCTCCTAATTTATTAAGGAAGCACTTGAAATCATGTTTTTTGGACATGTGCTGTTTCTTGATGCCTCATCCAGGAACCACAGTGACAACAAATCCAGAATTTGATGGAAAATTATCAGGTATGCTTTGACCAGTCAGGCTGATTCTATTTAAAAGATTGCTTGTGTATGGCATCTTTCTTCAGAAATGTTTACATTTCAGTATTCATCTTAGTGATATTATAATAGTATAGTATAATATACTGAAGAAACTGGACTTAATAAGAACATAGAAAGCTGTGAAATAATCGTATGAACAGATGCAGGGAGCAAGATTAGGTGAAGTTTGAGTTTATTACCTGACTTAAAATATGAATGTTAGTCATCAGTGCAGCCAAGGAATGGGGATGAGGAGTTTTAAGAAATAGAAAGTTTTGTGAAAAGATGAATTCAGTATAGTTATAACAGAAAATATATTTTCATTATTTTACCTTGTTTCTGTGATTACAGTCCTAATTATTTCAAACATGAGGTTCATTAATGTATTGAAGGGGATGTGATGATCGAAAAGTTAGTGAGGTCTCAGGTTTTAGACCATCTAGATCCCATGTGGATTTCTGTCCATGCCTTCTCACCTCTGACGAAGTCAAAATTTTATGAACGTGGGGAATACCACATAGCGTTGTTCTTGTATGAAATTGTGTCAGGCTAAAATTTCCTTTTTTGCTGTAGTAATGTGGCATGTAGAAATTAGAACAGTGTGTAAGTTTGGAATTAATAAAATGTGAAAGTACCAACATAACAGCACAAACGATTGAGATTCATGTAATTGCTGATTTATATGAGTGTGGATAGCTTTTGTGTTTATAGGGGACATGTAATATAAGTACGTGTCAGCATTTATTTCTTCATATTATGCAAAATTACCATAACATTGGTCATTTCTAAAGCTGCTGTACAGCAGAAGCTTGTGTATTAAGCTGTGATAAGCGATAAAATGATAGTTCGAGGAACGATAGAAGCGGGACAATGTAACATTATTTTATATATGATGTATCAGGAACCGAACAAAACGGACGATGCATCCGAGAAAACGATAGTTTGGGAAACGATGGATAGAGGTTTCACTGTGGTGTATTTTATTTGGGCCTGCACTGAACACTTGATGTGCAAAATGAACGTTAAGACTTTGAGTTTGTTGATTATTTAGATTGCAATCCTGTATGCTCACTGGGAGAATGGATTACATGGGAAAATATGAGAGGCAGTATAATCAGCAATCATATTATTTTGGACTTTGTCCATCATTTATATTTCAATAAAATAACGTTTCAGAAGGTGGATCTTCTTCTGTCTTCTGGTAATAGGGGAAGGACAGAAGCCCTAGCTGTTGTTTCCCCTGGACTGTGGTCTGAGGCTCGCTCAACCAGATTCATTTGCTGTAGAGTCAAACCCACCCTTGTCACATCATGCACGTCAATTCTGTTTTTGTATAATCCATGTTGGATGTCTAAGTTGCCATATTTTTAAAGGCTCTTCTATTTCTCATATCATTCACTTCTACTACGTCATTGAAAATAATATAAATTTACTATTCATTGGCTTCTGTAATTCATTTAGTAGCTCAGTTTCCCAGAGCTCGCTTCCTTTGTGCATGGAGTGACATATTAATTTTAAAAAGTAAAGCACTGATAGATTGCTTTCCTTTGGTATTCGTATTTCTCTTGTGTACTTCATTTTACACACACACAGACAAAACTCAAAGGTTTGTCCTAGTGATTGATTCATTACACTGCTTTTGTGTCGGACATTATCCATTGTCTGCAGTATATGTAGTATACACAATATTTTGGTTTCTGGGCTTCGGTTGTCTGTTATCAAAATACTGAAAAATTAAAACAATAAAAGGTTTCTATTATTAAATTGACATCAAATTCTGTGAAGGTGGAAATGCCAGGTGTATCAAATATGCCTCATACAACGGACATTCTTCAAAATAAATGATGTCTGACAGAATATTTTGTTGGATGACATGATTATTATTTGAATTTTTAAAAATGGGGTTTCATTTTATCCTAGAAGGAAACTAAATCAAAGATGAATTTTCACCCTGTCTTTGGAGAGCATTTATATTTAGAAGCTACAGGTCCTTTTCTGTTTTTTTTTCAACCTATCTAAAAAGGGATGCTGATAATTGAATGTTGTAGATACAGGCATTAGGCAGTATGTTGTTTAATGACATTTAATCTTTGTAATGGAGAAAGGTTAAAAAACCCAGAAAGTTTGCATCAGTACAGTTCAGTTGTTTGCATATGAAGATCAAAAATAATTGTGTTTAGTATTATATGGTTGTCATTGTATATTGGTAATTTTAACGTATTGCTTCCAAAGAATATGGGAAGAAACTTTCATCATTTTTAATGACAGACAAATGTAGATCTAATATCAGTATTACATTCATGGGATGACATGATTATTATTTGAGTTTTTAATAATGTGGGTTCATTTTATCCTAGAAGGAAACTAAATCCAAGATGAATTTTCACCCTGTCTTTGGAGAGCATTTATATTTAGAAGCTAAGCATACTTTTCTGTTTTTTTCAACATAACTAAAGAGGGATGCTGATAATTAAATGTTGTAGATACAGGCATTAGGCAGTACATTGTTTAATGACATATTTAATCTTTGTAAGGGAGAAATGTTAAGAAACCCAGAAAGTTTGCATCAGTACAGTTCAGTACTTTGCATATGAAGATCAAAAATAATTGTGTTTAGTATTATATGGTTTTAATAGTACATTGGTAATTTTAACATATTGCTTCTAAAGAATATGGGAAGAAACTTCATTTTTAATGACAGACAAATGTAGATCCATTATCAGTATTACATTCATGACCATGTAAGCGCTGTTATTGACATCTTCATGCTACTTACAACCTTGTCTCAACAGTAGAGTTGAAGGGCAACTAAATGTTAGGGAAGAACATAGGGTGATGAGATCATTGTAAACTAATTTGAATTTTGGTCTTATTGCATGCCTGTCCCCTGTTGTTTCAGACATTGGGACAGACTTCAAGAAACAGCTTCAAAAGTTGGTTCCAATGATGCTGGCCCCCGAAAACTTAGTTGTAAAAGAAATTGGAGGTCAGAGAGTGACGGCGAAGGAGTTGCTGCAATATTTCAAATCATATCTTGAAATTTACAAGGGGGATGAGCTACCTGAACCCAAATCCATTTTGGTTGTAAGTGTCACTTTTGTACTATGCTTCTATTTCATATTTATTTGTTGTTTAGGCTGTTTGAAATTTAATGTTTACTGTGTACGTATGCATATGGCACTAAACACATAATAAAGGCATGTTATTTTTTATTTGTTATGAAAGTTTGTTGGAACCCCATAGAACCAGCATAAATGGATATATCTTTTATATTATCTTGAGTAATTGGTTCTCCATTGCTGTTGGATTTAATTTTAGTACCATTCTTTCCAAATTATTTATTAATTGTTTGGTGTGAATATAATTTGATATTGTATAGGAGGTTTGGAAGAAATTAGTTTGCTGCTACTTTTATTTATTTTTTGGTTAATACTAAGGAATACAGTATTATGTTGTCTTCTTGGGTAATTTTGCTGATGTATGGCGTGGCCTTGCAAAAGTATTCCTTTATTTATAAATTTTTTTTATATTTTTGTAATGTTCTCCAAAACTGTAAAGAAAATATATAGTAATGGCCTTTGCATGAAATTCAAGTGTTTAGGTGCCAGATGCTGGGTGACTTCTTACTGTGCAGGTCCAGGTTTAATCCCAAGGCACTTCATGTGGATTTTGTTAAGGGCATGTTTTGCTGAGTACTTACAGTTTTTCGCTGTTGATTAGTACCAAGGAACTCATCTAACCCCACTAATAAATCAGCAAAATGAAACCTTAAGATAGTTGTACAAAAGCTATTAAATTGCACTTTGTAACAATAAGGCATCGAAGAGCCTTGAACTAGAATGGAAGTACATATTTCTATATTCTACGTGACATGTGAAGTTATAATTAAATTTCAGAATACTGTCACATTCACTTTAAAGAAACTGTGATGAGATCTGATTAAAAGGAGTGGAGTTTTCATATTAAGTCTTGTAATGGATAACATATGATCTGGAACAGAGCAGATTGTAACTGTCATGACTGTTGCAGGCTACAGCTGAAGTTCACAATCTGACAGCAGTAGCAGAAGCCACGGAAACTTACACAATGTTGATGGAGGGGGTATGTGGTGGTGCCAAGCCACATCTCAGCCGTGCCAAACTTAAAGCTGAACATCGGAAATGTAAAAATGCAGCTTTAATTGAGTTTCAAAATAAACCCAAAATAGGAGGAATGATTTTAGCTGAACCGTATAAGAAGAAGTTAGAAGAGGTCAGTTTGTAGTACTTTGTGCTTTAGAGAGAAATAAATAGTCATCCACACATGCGCATGTAGCTAATTATGGGAAAATGTAGATCAGACTTACAGGCGTACAGGAATTGTTGGTTGGGCTTTTGCTCTTAACAAGTGGTTGGTTGCGATTAGAATATATGAATGCATGTATGAGAAAATATTTAACTTCTCAGTTCAGATAATGCTAGAGATATTGGTAACTGGAATTATTTTTCATTTTCATTTCATTTGTGATAACTACTTTAAAAAATATTGCCCCACTCATAATATTTCTTTTAAAAAATAGTACTCTGTTGTGATATACATGGTTAGAAGTAAAGAATATTTATTTCAGCCATTTTCAGATATTATAAGTGACTGTTAAAATGAGTACATTCAATGTTTTATAAATTTTCATTTGATGAGGTTTCACTGTAATGAAATCTACAACAAAATAATGTTTTAAAAGGAAGACTCCTCAGGTCCTTTAAACATGTCCTGGATTGTAAATCATTCGGAGGCTTTGTTGTTACTCTCCTAACATAAAACATTTTTATGGTGGAGGGTTGTTAGTTCTGTGTCCAACCCCCAAGCTGGAGGAACCCCTTGTCTGGGACTGCTTATTCAATATATGCACAGTTATCCTGTACTGGAGGCTGTTCCTCCATCTGGAACCTGATGACGCACCATACCGTGGTGACGGTCCCACCTAAGAAGGAAGACTTACGTACTGTATTTTGGGGTCTGGTTGGGGATTGATAAAATATATGTTAATTAGGAATATGTCATTGTGAAGAATGCTGTAATGAGGGCACTGAGTTTATCTTTTAATAATGTTTCCCATTAAATTTTAGGAGCTGGAACGTCTGTATGAACACTACAAAGAGAACAATGAAAGTAAAAGCATATTCAAGGCTGTAAGAAGTCTGTTTTATTCCTTAAAACAACTGTGATATTTTGCGTTTTATCAGAGATCTTTGGCATTACTGGAATGTATTTTTTGGCAATCTTCTGATGGGTGTGGCATTGCTGAGCTTTGGAGTATGGGCATATATCAAGTAAGAAATACTTCTACTTCCATGTGTTTACTCAATTGTAATATTCCAACCATATTCATGCTAGTATGCTGTCACTTTTATTTCTGGCTAAAATCATCAGTAAATGACTGACAATTTGATGCTGTTATGCAGTGACGTGTCTTTTAAATTCAAATTTTGTTTGAACCTGTCCCTGGCTTGCATTTTGAAGGTTTTCTAATACTTTGCTTGTACATTGTGTACCATGTCACACTTTTATGTGTCATTTTGTGCTGTAATTTGGGATATAATGTGTTCTCAACTTTATTATCACTGTAATTTTTCCACACACTTTTTACGAGTGTTTGTTAATGAAGTACATGTTTTGACTGGTACTCCATGAACAAAATTAAATACATGGTGCACATAACTGTTATTTGCATCGAGGATGTGAAGGATCTTGAATACAGTTTGAATGAATCTGATGAAGACCGTTTTTGCTTGAAACCTGTAGTTCATCATTAACAAACACCAAGACGTCTCCATCATGGTGATTTCGTGGTGGAATTGCTATCCCTGTTTGTTGCTCACCTTCCCTAGATTGCAAGGAAAAGGCCTAACTAGAAATGCGAGAAACATATTTTAAGACACATCTTACGTCCAATATCTTTGTCAGCTTCAAGATGCTCTTTGGAAAGTTCAGAATAGTTCGGTGATAATATTTGCCTGACAAATTTTGCATTGCTTCTTTAAAGGCATTGCAGGTACTTTCAGATTCATTTGAGCGTTATCAAAAGTGTTATGATCTATTAACTTTTTTTGAGGACCTACTGTCTTTCATATTTGCTTCATTCATATTTTTGTTGACCTGGAACTAAAGCCTCCTTTTATAGTTAGTGCTTAGTAGTAATACAATGGAAATGTTTTGCTCCATTACTGCAGTTGCTAGGGAAACAACAGTACTTTGTGTACTCAAGTTGTATTTCTAGCTCATAAGCATTTTAATGCAGGGAGTAAAGCTTCTTTTAAGACCTGTCAACGCTATTCCACAAAAACAGCATAGTTAACCAACACATTTTCACGGTAAATTACAAAGAGAAGAATAAGGCACCCTGAAGAATTTAAGGGACCAACCTTGTGTTCTTTGAGATTTTACTGTATTTACTCATGGGTAACACCCCCCCCATTTTTGGAATGGAAGATTAAAAAATCTGATATTTATGATTTACACACTTTGAAATAAATAAAATGTGGAAAGTAAAAAAATAAGATGATGTGGTATGAGATGTTTGAAGATTAGGTGGGCTTTGTTTGCATTTGTTGTTGCTGGTGGTATTTTGTAATGAAAATGGCATGGACACACTCCTTTTTAAATAAGTCATATGATGAGATGATTGTTGGCAGCTTTTCTTTGAGAGCAACAGAAAATGCAAAGTTCATAGTTAGAAATAGTTCACACACCTGGTTTGTTAGTTTTTGTATGTTACAATGCATTTTACTGTATGCAGAAGAAACAACTTCATTCCCCCATTTAAATGTGTGGTTTGTATATTACATGCTCTGGATTTAAGAATGAATGAATAATTGTGAAAAGAACTGTGTTATACGTGAGTAAGTATGGTCTCGGCATTACGGCTAGAGAGAGCGTTAGGCAGATGATGCTGACGTTTCACTGCCCAGTTGTAATGCTCTGTAAATGCACAGTTTACTTGAAGCAAACCATTCAGGGGGATCTTCTGTCTTCACTATTGTTAAGTAAAATTATTTCAACCACATTTAATTCACATTTGCCAAATTTAACTGAGAGACTGCCGTGAAGTGTTGCAACGAATTTTATATTCACAGGTACAAATTTTTACAGTACACACTCAGTTTATCATAATGGTGGGTGATGGAAAAATGTTGGTATCATTTCCATATTCTGCATGCAAAAATATTGACTTATATGGGTTTATTGATACCTCCATTTTTGAATTTTGTGTTCAGGTGTAGAAATGCATAAATGTTACACACTATTATCCAGTCTTATCCGTCCTGTATATGTTTTTACTTTCTGTTCCAGGTATGTCATTAGATCTTCTTCTGGAACAAAACTGATTTTATTTGTCAAAATGTTAACAGTACAAAGTAATAGGAAACCAAAACACTCTTGACTGCAAGCACCACTACGACAACTTAATTTTGTAATTATTTAATTTGTTTATTGTTTTTTGTTAATTATGGGGCATCCATACAGATTCAGGATGTTAAATTTACTCTTAAGCATTAAGTATCTTTAGATTCAGTAGGGCATACATGCTGTACGGTTTGTAATGCGGAGATAAAAATTTCTTCATTTACTAATTAAAATAACAAAGGTTTTATTTGTTAAAATGTTATCAGTACAAAGTAATATTAAGCCAAACACTCTTGACTGCAAGCACCACTACAAAGAATTAATTTTTTAATTATTTAATTCTTAATCATTAATTGTTTTTTGAATAAAAATTTTCTTGGATATTATCTATCGTCTAGTAAATAAAATATAAAAATGTAAAACGACGTTTTGGAGATGGGGATCTATCTCCGTCTTCAGGTTCCTACTCAGTCGGGCCCACTAGATAGAGCTAATCCCTATCTCCGGACAAAGTAAAGGTTGAAAGTTCCGGAATACAAGCAGATCACCGCTCCATCCATCAGAGGGACGTATAAGAATAAAATAGAAATAGTAGATACAAAATTCCGTCAAACGCGAAAAAGCCAAATAAACACAAAGACTCACAAAAGGTGGGAATAAATATATATGACCATTATGTTGAAACCCGCTGCACAACTTGGACTTCCTCCGAAATGACCGGGATCCAAATAGATAAATCCAAACTAGGCTGGCTGATAGGATCGTCTGATTTTATAACGGTTCCCAGAAAAATTTAGAAGAATTGGGAACCGTTATAATATCAGGACGAATTTTAAAATCAGTCACTCTCCGTGGTTTATTGATGACTACGAGACCCAGCATAGTCGAGAGACGCTCTAGGCAGTGTGTGTACGGTGCCCCAGCATCTCCTCCATTCCTCTCTGTCACGTGCTCGTGTTGTCCAGTGTCTGGTGGTATGGCCACGTAAATTTCTGATGTACTCGACGGCAAGAGAGTCTGCCCAACGAGCAGGGGGCTGACCCAGCAGACGCTTCCTGTCTCCCGGGTACCACGTCACAGTGGCGATGCTCCATCTGCCGTCGTTTCGCCTCACGACGTGGCCTACCCAGCGGTGTTTCCGCTTCGCCACATGCCGTAATGGGTCCCTAACGCCTGACATCCGTCTGATGTCAGCAGAGTGAAGATGACGGTCTCTGCTGGCGTAAGGTGACACCGACAAGTCGACGCTCAAGGGAGGCATGGGCGACTCGAAATTGCTCAGAAAGACCCCTAGTAAGAGACCACGTCTCAGCGCCGTAGCAAAGTGCCGGCAGTACTATGGAGTCAAAGAGGTGAGCGTGGCGTAGATCACCGATCGGATGAACCCGAATGCTAGATGCGGGATGCTCGCCATCTCCGCGCCAGCTGAACAACGTTAAGTGCTAAGTACAGAATTTTGCCCTTTAGGTATTCCCTTATTCCTAAAGGTTCTACTAGCCTCACGTTTCACGTTACATAGATTATCCGCATTTGTTTTGTTTTGTTTTGGTCCTGCAACCATTGAAATTTTGTTTGCTTCCTTCGATCTATTAATTTTGAACATTCTTCATCAAACCACGGTTTATTTTGCTTTCTCCTGTAGTATCCTAGTTTCTCTTTTGCTGAAATTTTGATGCAGTTTCTGACATTTTCCCACTCCCTGTTGATGTCCACACTTTCATTATCTTCATTTGTCTCTAAAATTTGAAACCTATTCGAAATTTCAACTTGATATTGTTCCTTCGCCTCTCCCTCACTTATTTTTTTCAAATCAAATCTTTCTGTGTCGAAATTTTGTTTAGTTCGTCTACTTACTGAAAGCCGCTCCCTCACTTTTGCTACCATCAGATAATGGTCAGTGTCACAATCTGCTCCTCTGAATGATCTCACATCAATTACATTTGTCTGCCTTCTCTTATCTACTAAAACATGATCTATTTGATTGTGTTCTGCCATCTGGAGAAGTCCAAGTGTATTTATGAATATCACGGTGTGGAAATTTTGTACTTTTTACAATTAAATCTTTTGGTCCAGGAACACACACAAGAAGTTTGTAAACATACTTCTAACTCACCCTGTAGAGACTCCTAATGTTCCACGTTCCAAATCTCATGTCCTTTTTCAATTGCCGTGGTCGTGCCAAAGAGTCCGTCCTGGTCCGAGGCTTAGTTAGTTTTTTCGTAACGATGCTTTTTTTAAAAGGTGAAAGGTTGTTAGCCTTACACCCAACCCCCAACGTGGAGGACCAGGGTATCACTCTTAGTCTGGCTCATCTCCTTAGACCTGTCCGGCTTGGGTGACCCTACCATGAGCCGAAGCTCCGGCCGGCATAGCCCTAAGGGTCATTTGAGCACGCAAGTTTCCTCACCTGGCACATTGCCTTCGACAAGGTGGTGATACCTTAGAGAAGGCCGAGACTCTTCCCCAACTTATTTATTTGCAAAAAAGACAGTCATGTGCACAGATCTGAGGTGGACTGAAAAGTGCGATTCTGCAGAATGTTTATACGTCGTCTAACCTATAATTCATTCAACAATAAAAGGTGCTGACAGTAAATACATGGAATGGAACAAATGTCAGTACAATAATACGTTGCGAGAAAATTGCCTGCTTTTAAAATTTTGGAAGCGAATGAATATAAATATGTTCTATGCCATTACAGTTAGCATGGATATTTATAAATTTAACAAGATATCAATTTGCTGGATGTTATTAATACAATTAAATGTTATGAAACAAAGTTACAGATATTTTTTCATTGCTCTAGTAAGTCATTTGGCGTTCGTATGTATGAATGCGGAACGTGATCAATGAATTATTTATCAGTGAATGCTGATCACATCTCAGATCCTTTTATGAAAGTCCATAAACATTATTACGTATAAATAAAATACTCGGCTTCGTTTCTTATCGTGCTCAAAGCAACGAGCAAATAGAACGAAGCAGATTGAATATATTGAATTGTAGAAACTGGCTAAATTGGAACTACTGTTTAAATATATTTGTGTATGTATTATTATTTATTTAATATGCGTTATATTGTTTTAATTACTATTTTTATATATATCGTTTAATAGTGTGAGCTACTCACATTAAAAATAGTTACATTTAAGTAGGCTGAAGTGTAACATTATTTATGTTCGCTCTACGTCTAGACATTTGAACAGAGGAATTCTACACTGAATTGCGGCTATTACAGTCGCTATTGTGAGTAAATCGTTGCCTGTTAATATTCATGACAAATCCCTTGTTGCAGTCAGAAGGTGGCTGCACCAAGATAACAGAATCCAAAGCCACGAATGTGTTTGTTTATTGTAACGTCGCTGTTACCGCAAACTGCGAGGGCTTACTTATCAAATTATCAAATCAGTGGAATTATTAAATAAGTATCAAGGGAGGCGATGGCGTGTAACGGGTGATCTGCGTTTCAGTGGAAGTCAGAGGGAAGAATTTTTGTTGCTCTTATTAAACAGCAATTCTAAAAGAACGAAGCTGATCTATATTATTCGTTAACTAACAACTAACTATCTCCAGCTAGTCGGGAAATTCCCCGCTTGTATGGAACCAAGAAGCTCATTACTCTATTAGCAACAGCACGACACTGGACCGTTTACTGAGCCAAATTAATAAAGTCCACTTCCTCACAGCTTGTTTCTCAAAAACCATTTTGATCTTACCGTCTAAGATCCCTGAAGTGGTATTTCACCGCCTTATGCTTTCAGACTAATATTCTGTTCGAAAATTGCCCGTCTTATTCTCCTAGATGTGATCATCTTAATAATATTTTCTCTAGCTGCGCTTGTGTCAGATAGTGAAAACAGTATTCAATTTGTAATGAGTGATATTAATACATCATGATATCCTAGGGGAGACAAATTAAAATTAAAGGAACCCATGGCTCCTCCAAACCCACCGTAGCCGGAGTCGGCACTTTCAGATCTCAATTTAAATTCATTTCACATTTGGCAGATCTATACTAAAAAATGCGTAAGGATTTCTTGGATGAACAACGTACTGTTTCCATATCTCTGACATCATGCCAATGTCTTACCCAGTTTTCGTTTAAGACCATTTGGTTTAAATATTTACCTGGTTACATGTATCCAGCTCAGATTTCTTTCCTGTTGGAGATGATACATCGGAGTACTTACTTACTTAGGATACTTAGACGACCCGTTCTTCAGTGCCTGAGCATCTGCGGGTCCAAACCTTTCGTTGGCTTTGAAGAGGATGCATCAGGAATTACATTAATAGGACAATAAAATAAATTATCAGTCAGTAAATTGGGAGATATACGGTTGTTCGCAGACTACGCCGTGTAGAAACACGGCATTGGCTTTCCCTGCCATCGCTTTCGGGTAAGAATGTTTTATCTACCCGTATCGCGGAACCTCAGACATAAGAACTGTAAAAGGTAAGCTGTCCCTCTACACGCCATGTAGGCGTTTGAGGTGAGTGGAGGTATAGCTCCTACTCTTCCTTGACCTCGGCACCAGATGGGGGTGAGTGGTCAGCATCACGCCCCGGCCGTGCTTTACCCCCGGGAAAGGACCCCGGTACCCATTGGACAGGAGGCCCATCGCCAAGCCGTAGCTATCCTGACTGAGCTATCCCGGCTCCCCCATTGTGATGGCACATTGCAGTAATATAAATATTTTATTCTCGCATTTATACCGACTAATTACGTATTAACACCTCATATCTTTGAAGTAACTAGTGTCCTTTCAGAGAACATTTCGTCACGGAATGAATACATTTACATTTTACATTATGCATACAACAGAAGCAAAACTTAAATCAGAAAAAACAAACGGACTGTCCTAGTTTGTATTTGTCTCTTAGCTACAAATATTTCAAAATAACATTAAAACTGACATTGTGAATCGGAAAGGTTGCGGTTTAAAGCGGTAGAGGTGCCACCATGTTAGTGACATTGACTAGAGATAAGATTCCGGGATTCGATTCATGGACCTTGTCTATACGCGTTAGGTGCGGTACTACAAAACTAAATTGCTGTATTGCATGCAGACGTAGACTTATGACATAGCCTAGTGTACTCTGCTACTGCAGTTCCCTATAGCAAATGACGGTGAACCTGTAATGCTATATCGAAACCAGTGTAACCCCAGGGAAAGATCGGTTTGATATAAATACGGCGTTTACTGTCATATATCGCAAGCCCCTGAAGGCACACGTGATCACAATGGTCTTCTCGCTCTCCCACATCCAACAGCTCACCTCCCACCTCTAAAGCTGTTGTCATCACACCAACCCGTGGAACAGCTTGCTTTTAAATGGCTCGTTAGTATTGCTTTTGATTGTATTGACGTTTCTAGGAAGATGTTGA